GCAAGAATATGGCTGATGAGAATTCAGATGATGAAAGCACCATTGCTTATCCTTCTGCTCACATCTCTGAAATGGATATCAATCCAAATCAATGACTTAGTTCAGTTTTACTGAATGAGTTTAATTATTTGACGTGGGCAAGAGCAGTTAGTCTTGCACTTGGTGGAAGATCCAAACTTGGTTTCATCGATGGCAGTCATCCTGCTCTTAGAGTTACTTCTCCTTAATATGGAGGGTGGCTTTGTAAAGATCAACTGGTCCTGTCATGGCTGCTTAATTCCATGGAAATGAAGATTGCTGAAATCTTCAGTTATTTCGAGTCATCTCTCACTCTCTGGACAACTGTGAAGGAGATTTATAGTGATCAAAACAATTATGCACGCATCTTTCAACTCAAGAAAGATATCTCCAACATTTAATAAGAAGGTAAAACCTTTGTTCAACATCTTAGTTCTCTGAGAAGCATGTGGAATGAGCTGGATGTCTATAGACCTCACACCACTGATCCCACTGTGCTTCTTAAAAGAGCTGAAGAAGATAAGATATTTCAATTGCTGTCTAGCTTGAGCTCAGAATATGAGGATTTGAGAAGCCATATCCTCATGAATCCTGAGCTACCATCATTCATTAGCATTTGTGCAACTATCCAATGTGAGTAAGTAAGAAGAAAAGTCATGAACAGTGGTACAAAAACCATTGTGACTGAAGCTAGGGCTTATCTGACAAATGAAAAAAGATACAAAGGAAAAAACCCTCATCTGAAGTGCCTACACTGTGACAACATTGGGCATGTGAGAGATAAGTGCTGGATCCTGCATCCAGAACTCAAGCCGGATTTCATGAAGGATAAAACTACGCATAAGACAAGTCGAGCATATCCTCGTGCCAACACTACATCATCTTCATCTTTCAACAGTTCTGATCCATACAAACAGTTCACTGCAAATCCTGCTACTCTTATAAATGAGTTCGCAGCCTATCTCCATCAGAAGAAGGGTAGGGAGGAATAAGCTGTTGACCATGAAGATGGAAGTGCAATTGCATTGCTTAGCAAGTTTGCAGGGTTTCTAGCCGATGCTAATTGCTTACCTCAACAAGACATGAAAGGTATCGTGAATGCTTTCAAAACTGCTCTTAAAATTAATGAGTTGCATGACTTTTGGGTTGTAGATTCAGGTGCCACATATCATATGACTAATCAAGTGTCAAAATTGCATAAATTTGAGAAACTTCATAAATCATCACGTGTGTCTGTAGCTGATGGTGAAGGTGCTAGGATTGTAGGAAAGGGAAAAATTCACTTGATATCAAACCAAATAGAGTCTATGGCCTTATATTTTCCTTCATTTCTATTCCAACTTCTCTCAGTGGGACAAATCACATATTCCTTAAACTGTTTAGCCATTTTTTCACCAGAAAATGTCATTTTTCAGGATCGTGTCACCAAGAGGAAGATTGGTGAGGGATTTTACCTAGATGGTCTCTATTACATTTCAAAAAGCTCTCTCAGTGGATTACAAGCCAAGTCTATATCCATCTATGCCTCCATTCAAGATCATTTTTTGTGGCACCAGCGACTAGCTCACCCTTCTCAACATGTTTTGTCCACCTTGTTTCCTGACTTAGGCAAAGAACCAATTCATTGTGAAACTTGCCATATGTCAAAGGCAACTAAACTACCCCTCGGTTCATCTTTGTCTAGAGTTTTTCATATTTTTGAACTTGTACACTCAGCTATATGGGGACCAACTAGTGAGTCTTTTGATGGTTACAAATATTTCATAACGTTTGTTGATGACTATTCAAGAGCAACTTGGCTATATTTGTTAAAATCAAAGAGTCAAGTGATGGAAGTGTTTAAAGACTTTCATAGTCTTGTTAAAAATCACTTTTCCTCTCAAATCAAAACTCTAAGGTCTGATAATGGCACCGAATACATGTCCCAAGTCATGACTCAATATTTGAGCAACAATGGCATTATGCATCACACTAGTTGTGTTGGCACACCTCAACAAAATGGTATTGCCAAGAGAAAAAATCTAGATCTTCTTGAAAAAACTAGGTCATTGATGTTCCAAATGAATGTACCTAAACGTTTTTGGTCTCAAAGTGTTATGGCGGCAACTTACTTGATCAACAGGTTACCTAGTAGGGTGTAAGGGTTCAAATCACCATTGGAAATTGTCAAAAACAAAAAAGTAGACTTGTCACACCTTAAGGTCTTTGGATGCATTTGTTTTGTCCATGTTCAGTCCTTGCATCGAGACAAACTTGACCCTAGGGCAACCAAATGCATTTTCCTTGGTTACTCATCCACACAAAAAAGATACAAATGTTACAATCCATAACTTAAGAGATTAATTGTTTCCAAGGATGTTAGATTTCATGAAACTAACCCTTATTACAACAAATCTCTGGATAGTACAAGTGAGGGGGAGTATTGCTTGGATCTGTTTCCATTGCCAATAACTGAGACCCTTGTCACTAAAGTCACTCAACCTAATGTAATGGTGCATGTACATCACACAAACTTCCTCGCTGAAATTGACAACCCAGCTTCAAGTGATGAAACTAACACTTCTGTTGAAAATGAATCTCTCCACAGTATTGCTCCTGAGGAATCTTCATACGAGTCTCATTCTACTGCGCCTCGACGCAACCCCATTCGTGAAAGACATCCTCCAGCAAGACTGCAAGACTTTGTCACTTACAAGCCAAGGCATCCACTGTCCAACTACGTGTCTTATCAAAAACTGTCACCTAAACACACTGCTTTTCTTTGTAATATATCTGAGCATGTTGAGCCTTAGTCATTTCAAGAAGCAAATCAATCACAGGTTTGGCAGCAAGCTATACTACATGAATTGCATGCTCTTGATTAACATAAAACCTGGAGCATTGTGACACTGCCTAAGAGAAAGAAGACAGTAGGTTGCAGGTGGATATACAAGGTTAAATTCAACTCAGATGGGTCCATAAAAAGACATAAGGCAAGATTAGTGGCTCGTGGTTTTACTTAAACATTTGATGTGGATTACAAAGAAACATTTGCTCCTGTTGCAAAGATGAACTCAGTAAGAGTACTCATTTCAGTTGTTGTTAACAAAGGGTGGCCTATGTATCAAATGGATGTAAAGAACGCCTTTTTACATGGTGAGCTTGAAGAAGAAGTCTACATGAGGTTACCCCCAGGTCATCCTCAAAGTCATGAACCTGATATTGTGTGCAGATTGCACAAATCAATTTATGGTCTTAAACAGTCACCGAGAGCTTGGTATACCAAGCTCAGTTCAGTCCTCACAACTGTTGGTTTTAAAAGAAGCAACGCAGACTCCTTATTATTCGTACGCATTGGCATTGCTGGGACATTGGTCGTCCTTGTATATGTAGATGATTTGATCATTACAGGAGATAACCATGATGAAATAATTGAGCTCAAGCATTCACTACAACTACGTTTTGCAATCAAAGATCTTAGAATACTCAAATATTTTCTTGGCATCGAAATGGCTACCTTTCATAAGGGTTTCTTTCTCAGCCAACGGAAATATGTTCTGGACCTTCTCAAGGAAGCAAACATGAGTGATGCTAAACCTATCCATACACCTCTTGACACAAAGCTCAAACTTAGCTTGGAGGGGCAACCACTTCCAAACATAAGCTATTATCAACGTCTTGTTGGTAAACTGATATACTTGACTATTACAAGGCCTAACATAGCCTATTCAGTAAGCATTGCTAGCCAATTTATGCACTCTCCCACTATGGAGCATTTTAATCTTGTCAAAAGACTACTTCGGTACCTAAAAGGTTCAGTGTGTCGTGGCATCATCATGAAGAAGAATGAGAGCACTCAGATCACAGGTTATTGTGATGCTGATTGGGCTGGTAACTCTATTGATCGTAAGTCTACAACGGGGTATTGCACATTTGTGGGAGGCAACCTTGTTACCTGAAAAAGTAAAAAGCAAGCAGTTGTTGCAAGATCCAGTACTGAGGCTGAATATCAAGCCATGACATATACTGCATGTGAACTAATATGGCTTAAGGGTCTACTATGCAACTTAGGTGTCTTCACTCCTCAGTCCATGTATCTTTTCTGTGACAATCAGGCAGCCATGCACATTGCTTCCAACCCCGTCTTTCACGAGAAAACCAAGCACATTGAAGTTGACTGCCACTATGTTCGTGCACAAGTACAATCACAGGTTATCAAAACTCATTTTGTCAAGAGCTACGATCAACTCGTAGACCTATTCACTAAACCATTAGCCTCTCCTCAATTTTAACGGCTTATCGGCAAGCTTGGATCCATCAACCTTCTGGATCCAGCTTGAGGGGGAGTATTGAAAGACCTCTGGGTATTTAGGGTTTCTCTGGATTAGGGTTTCTCGGTATTATCTGGGTAATAGGGTTTGTGTCAACCCTATTAGTGTTTTACCTAGTTAATAACCGTTTGTTTTCTTTTGGTACTTCTCAACTTGTATAAGGGTCTTATCTTGTTGTCATCTCCTTAATCCAAGGAGTTTAGTTATGTCTCCCATACCGGCTACATAACGTGATTCAAGAAGATCTAGGATAGGTTCTTGAGTGTTGAGTATAGTTTGCAACTCACTTAAACTCCTCTATATATTTGTAACTTGTGTTTGTTCTCAATACGATTAACATAATACAAAGATTAGAAACGTCAAAAGCTAACAAAACCAAACACCAAAATCCTTTTAGTGGGTCATTCACTCATTGAAACCCCCAAACCCATATCAAAAGAACTACGAGTGACTTGATCCCTCAAGGGGGTACGTAAGCAATCTAGGGCTCGACCTAGGTGCAATCGCAAAATCAAACAAACACCCAAATCCTCAAATTTCATATTTTTCATGTTAGAATCAAAGGGTATTCCTTTCTTAAAAGAAGGGCTATAATTAATAGGCGCGTAGCCTAAAATGGGTTGAACTCAAATTAATAAAACTCTCTTCGAAAAAAATGAACGAGGGTGAAATTGTGTTGAGTGAATTATTCGTTCTTGTGACAATTTTTAATCAACAATTACAAAGAGAACATCTGACAACAATGATAAATCAAGTCACAACTCAATATTTTCACATCAGGGAAATGGGCAAATCCCAGTCTGGTGTTCCTGCTAGCTAAAACCAGCATGAGATCAATCACCTATATCTCCCCCTGAATTACTAAAAAGATACCGTACGAGCGCAAACCCGGCGTAACCAAGTTGGCCGGCTAGAGCAGTGCCTTCTTTTGCACTCCAATTCGGATCTCCTCCCCTAGTTTGAACTATATTACAATATCACTCGAACATATATAATCAAACCTACATGCTACATATTATACAAAAAAAGGGCCGGCCTTGAGTGTAACCATAAGAAACAACCACCTAGAGCCCCGCATCAAGAGGGGCCACACAAAATCTTGTGTGTCTATGAGAAACTCTTGGCCACTGGAGAAGTGGTAACTAAGCCTGATAGGAGTGCCACAATAAGGGCACTATTGTAAGTGCTTGGCTCACCTTGCATTGAATTGTTCCTGGAATCAATGTAGGTCTCATTCATGAATGGGCCACCAACTAGGGCACCAACAGCTACATTTGGGTTGGGATTGGGTGAGTCCAGCCACTTAAACCCGTCACTGCAGCCGGTTTCTGCATCCACTGGAATTGAAGCTCCCCTGTGGTGAACATATTGAGGGTAGCTGCTTCCGTACCCTACAAGGTAGCTCATCCTCATTGGGTTTTCGCCTAGCACATAATCTGCCTGCAAGGGTTTTTGTTTGCATTTACCTTAGTTTGACGAAAACATGCAAGAAAAATCAACTTATAAATGATGAACTAGCCTCATCGAATACCTGAGAGATGGCAAACTTGCGAAGATCAACAGGATTGTAGGATTTTCCATCGCAATACAGCATTTCGGTTTTAGATGTGAGCATGTAGTCACTATAGAGAATGGCTAAAAATGCTGAAGCCACAGCATACTGTAGACAGTTCCATTTTATCACCCAAATCAGACCGCCTACATCGCATGACACGCACTCATCAATTTAGTCTTAGCACACACGATGTAACGTGCATGTGTATTCAATTAGCATATATCAAAGAAAAAAAAAGAAAAAAAAAACGATTGTTGTCCATTAGATAATGAGGCATAAGCAAACATGTTCTGCACTTGGGTTTCTTATAGTCAGGCAACAATGATGAATATATGTGATGAGATTAGTGAGTGCGAAGATGCTAATTCGTGCGAAATAGTGACAGCAAAACGAATCTTACTGGATGTTCTGCTGGATGTCGCCATGGGGGAATCGGGTAGAAGTGAACACATGAAAACCTCTGCGGTTTCCCTGTATTCCTGAAGATCAATGTTCTCTGCAGATGACATGTCTTTTGTGCCAAAGAAACTTATCCTAGACATCAGAACCTGCTCCAACATGACACAAATTGTATGTATTCTTCAAGAGACTTTTGACAAATAATTTTCGCAACTGCGTATATGACTTAAAAATGATTAGAAGCAACTAAATGCTGGTTCACAACCTGTTTTACTTAAACAAAAAGGGCTTAACGTATCTTCAGGATAGTTAACAACAAAAATGCGTAGTTGCAATAGTTAATCTTGGCCTATAAACTACACAATGGTAAAGCATTGTTATATACTATCTACCTGAGTTGCAGCATGCTTGTCATCCCAGCTAAACCAAGACGGACTTCCCCAATTTGCAAACGCTGGCCCGTTCTGTTCGGTTGCATATTTGAAGTAGGTTGGGTCTTTAGTTGCATGATAGAGCCAGGTAGCTGCCCATAAGAGTTCGTCTCCATATCCTGTAGAGTTGTAGTAGATTTGCACTTGGGGAATGCTGACACTATAAGCACCTCTATAAGTATCAGCAAAAGAAAACAGCTGCTCGGCGTGCGTCAGGAGCAACTTAGAGTAAGAGGAGTTGATTTTCCTGAACACCAGAGATGCCGATGCCATGGCAGCTGCAGTTTCTGCTGCAACATCTGTTCCTGGGAAGGATGTGTTGATTTGAATCAGAGGCCTTTTCTCTGTCATTACTTCCGGTCTCTGCCAACACCTGTGATCCAACTCGGGATCACCCACCTTCAATCACATAAAAGTTAACAAATTAACAAAAAAAAATTGAGAGAAAGAGAGAGAGATTAAGAACAAAGCAATCTTATCACATGATGATAGAGATAGACAATTATATACTATCAGTTGTAGGCAAGAAAAATCTGAGAGATTAGGGCACTACTAGGTCACCAAAATTCGTTCAGTAAATGATGTTCTCTTACGAAACTTGTATCGCAAGACACACTCTTATATGCCTGACTGTGAATGCGATCAAATTAAGGCAAGAATAAACCTAATGAATTGTCCCCATTCACGATTTAGCAACCCTAGTGTATTCAAACAAGGTACTAACATGATACTAGGAGTAATGTTCTCTAAACAAACTTATATTGCAAGACAGACGTTTTTATGCTACGATTTGCGAGACTGGTTCTAGACCACAAATTCAGACAATAATCGATCTAATGAATTGTCCCGATTCACAGTCTAACAACTTGAGCATTGCCATCCATGTATCAAAGAGTTTAATAGGATATCATTGAAAATTTGAAGTAATCAACCTAAATAATGTAACTAACCTGAACATAAAGCACATTTGGAGAAGGATGTGCATTGATTAGGTAATCAGTGATCCACTTAAGTGAGTCATGGGCATGATCCAACTGCTTCACAGCTTTCATTCGGTCTCCGTATTCAAGAATCGCCCAAGACAACACAGTTGCAGTGAAAGCCATGGGAAAGCCAAACTTGATGAGATCACCTGCATCATACAGTCCCTTTGACAAATCCAAATCTTCCTCACTCCCGTCTTGGAGGCCCGAATCCCCTCGCCACGGAATGGGGTTATCCACCAGCTTACCAGCTGCAACAAGAAGAAGAAGTAACACAGGATCATAACATGTTTGGTTTATAACTTACAAATCAAATCCAGGGATCATTGAGACTGTTTCTGCAGAAAGCACAACGTTTTTAAGTTTTTCTGACAAACATAAGCAGAAATGTGCTTCTAGTTGACAGAAAACCACTTTTAGCCTTTCCAGAAGCAGTCCCAAAAAGACCGCAAAACAAGAAACGTAGAATTGGGTTTATGTTACATTTCTGGGCATCGAAGAACTGCATGGAGATCTGAAGAGCTTCGGAGTATTTTGGTACGATGGCGCCATGGTGACCCGAGCCCCTGCTTGATTTCCAGTGCTTGAAATACTGTACAAGAGTAAGTGAAACCATTGCTGCTAGCAGAGAGAGGGTTAATAACAGAAGTAACCGCCAACACCATCTCTCCGTCTTCGACTTCGACTCTGTGCTGCAATCAGCTTCTTTCCCAGCTTTCAGTTCCATGTTTCACATCCGATTCAAAGCGATAGTTCTCCGAACCATTTTTCTACAAGATCCGAGCTTTTGATCCGTAAATACCTATTCCCATTGTGATTTCCGACCCAGAAGAAGAAAAAACAGCGGAAAAACAGTCGGTCTTTTGTTTTATTTGATGGATTCAGAGACAGATTGTGTGATGCCGATCGCGACCGGGTGTCTGCGTCGAAGGTGGATAGACGTGGCCGGAGAATGATGCCGTTATGACCGTCGGGACAACCTTATAAATTGCAAAAAGGGCAGGGGGCGGCTTGTCCGTTGCTTTGAAGGATTTTTGCTTTGTTTGTTGCGCGGTAAAAAGAAAAAAAAAAACACATCACACTTGTGCTGGGCCTATTGGGCCACGACCCTAATCAACTAGTGACGGCCCATATTATCCTGTTTTTTTCAAGGTCAACAGGACAAGGGCGCGAGAGGTATGAGCTCGCCCGGCAACTCGAGAGTTCCGTAGTTGGTACGATCCCTGCGTCTCGCTTGCTTGCTCGTCGACCCTCCGAGCTTAGCAGACACACAGATATATAGGCGGAAGACGAAGGAGCGGAGTAAGAGTGAGAACTGTAGTCTAATCAAACAATGGCGGAAGGAAGAGAAGGGGATTGGGAGTGCAGTGGATGCAGGAACAGAAACTACGCCTTCAGATCCTTCTGCAATCGCTGCAAGCAGCCTCGCCTTCTCGTCGACACCAAAACCCCCGCCGACTCTAAGTGGCTCCCTCGCATCGGCGATTGGATCTGCACCGGTTAGACCTCACACCCCCTCTCTGTCTCTCTCTCTAACCTTCTCTCTCTAAGATTGCTAGAATTATAATAGGGTTAATTTTGAGTTATGTATGGATATGGGTTTTGGGAGTTGTAGGGTTTAAGGGTATTTATATGGGGGTTTTGATTGAATTGTACTGCACATATAATAATGGTTACTTCAACGGGTTTGGTGTTTCTAGAGATGTAAACAGTCCCCTTTCTTATTATTCATTAACGGTTAGAAACTTAGAAGCTTATGGCCGTTGATAACCATTTTTCTTTCAGTTTTTAGTTTGCATTGACGGTAATAAGCCTAATTGACATAAAACATCTCACACTCTTCTTTCTTGTTTATAATTGAGAATTAAATCTTGGGGAGTGCTGTCTTCTCAGTTCATTCCAATTACCCATTTTCAGTTGCCTTTCTGTAAGTTGGATTCAAAGGGAAAGACGGTCATTTTACAAATCGTTTATTGGTTTTGTTGATAGAGAGAGAGGTTGAGTATGGCAGTTAGGGTACATGCTTTGTTTGGTGTATAAGAATATAGGAAATGAATGAAGTACAACTTTGAAGTTTAATTTCCCAGTTGAACAAATATACGATCTTTTTTCTTTGGGTGCCTTCGATTTCAATTACAGAAAGAGTATCTTACTTGCACATTCTTGCACATTCGTAGCCTAATGACACATTTCCTTGACCTTGTTTATTCACTGTGAATGCATAATTGTTATTGCAGCTTGTATTTTTCTTTGCTTTTCATCTTTTTATCAAGTTGAAAAAAAAATGGTTAGCAACTCGCTATCAATTAGGTTGAGTGGTTTCTGTTTCTTGTATGGGTATTTTGGTGTGGGGTGGACTTGTTGGTGTGCGTACTTGGCTGGATTGTGGGTTGGGTGTGTGTGGCAATGGATCAATAGGTTGCACTAACAACAATTATGCATCAAGAGAAAAGTGCAAAAAGTGCGGGCAACCAAAGGAGGTAGCGGCAATGCCAGCGGTTGCAATCCCCGGAGCTTCTCTCCCAACTTATTCACATTATTTTGCCAGGGCCCAAGGAGGACGGGACCAAAGGATGATGATGGGCAATGGTGCTCCCCCACATTCGCTTCCTCTGAACTGGTCTATACCAGGGGCTGATAAGTTTGGAGTTCAGCCGGCTTCTACTTGGCCTGTAGGTGGAAACCATAATGCTGGACTTCCACATGCAAATTCTACTAATCAGCTTCTTTCAGTTCCAAAAGGATGGCGCAGTGGTGATTGGTTATGCAGTTGCGGTTTCCATAATTATTCGTCTCGAACACAGGTATGATGATGCTACATGAGCATTCGAAGCAAAGAGTTTTCCTTACCTAACTGTTGATTTCTGATCAAACTTTGATTTATCTGCAGTGCAAAAAATGCGATGCTTTTCCACCATGTATGCCCTTTCTTCATCAGCATTGCAATTGTCGTATGATGGATTTATGTTTTAGAAGCACCTGAGCTACAGTTATTGGGTTCCATTATTAAGCACTGGTATCATATTGTAACTCATGCTCATTTATTTCCATTCCTCTTTTTTCATATAAAGCTCTTGGAATGAAGCGATTAGCATCCGAAGAGCTTGTTCATGACTGGGATAACAAGAGACTGAATGTAGGACATGTAAGGATGATCTATCTTTTCTATGGAATTTTAGATTATAAAACTTTATAATATTGTTTCATACAGTATCCTTTGCTTTCTTCCTCTCCTCCTCATTCTCTTATTCTTTTCACTAAATGTGCAGACAGTTGGGCAGCAGCTATCCTATCCTGGATTTGAGCAAGTGGTAGGGATCAGTGGTAACCCTGCAACTGGACCTTACGCTCCTTATCATCCCAATGTAAGCTCAGGGTGGCTTCGAATTTGCAAGTACCCATGCCATTCACACAGCAAGCAATGACACCTACACTTCTTGGAAAAGGGTGAGTTTGGAATCAGCTTTTCCTTTTACATATGCATGCTTACGTACCACATTCGGTTGGTTAGATAACAGTTTTGGTCTTTGAGTCTTTGTTATTATATGCATATTTGTTCTTGCAGTGTATTATTCATGTTTATTTAACCATTTTCAGTTTGCTTCCACACCTTTTTAAACGTGGATAATATCCCTAATTAAATATGGCCCCTATAAACGTCACTTATGATGAGCCTATATTTTTTAGCACAAAATCAGCTATTGTAAGATTAGCTTCTTTGATAAGGATTTTCTTGCTTATATTTTATTGACTTCGCAGAGCAAAGCAATGGCGTAATGGGGATTGGATGTGCACAAATTGCAACAATCATAATTATGCATCTCGATTAAACTGCAATAGGTTAGTTTCTAAACTAAGCATTGATTCCTCTTTTGCTTAACATTCGTTACTTCATCCTTTTCCTTGGGTTTTAATCCCAACTTTACCAATGGCATAGTAAACTGTTTTCCCATATGGTATGGAATATATCCTGATGGAGCAGTGAAACCTCTTTCTTGATATATCCTGATGGAACAATAATTTCAAATTTTGTGCATCAATTATGCTCCGAGTTGAGGCGTGTAAATGATCTGCGTTATACGTAGTAATTTGCTCTGAATGTTGGAACCCTTATTATCTGCAGGTGCAAGACTGAAAGAGATGCAACCGCTCAGCCAGTCAACACCATGTAGCCATTCAAATTCATAAAGTTGTATGCTTGGTGCTCATTCAAGTTTTGATTTAGCCTTTCATTGTGTACTATGTTGAGGTGAAGATGAACCTTTTGCTATAAGCGCCGGGTTATCTCACATTATTCCGATAGTATATTGATATTCACTTTGAATCGTTGCACTGCAATAATGTAATTTACAGCTCCGTAGTTTCGTGTCACAGAGAAAACATGGCTGTGTACGGTTTATTGATCAGTAATATTACATGCTCGAAACTATGTTTTTTCCCTCGAATTTTTTCATTGGATTGTCTAGGAGTGCTAATTTATGCTAACAATAAAGGTGCATGTTTTCTTCGTAATACAAACAATATCGTGGTTGAGGAATTGGACACCAGAATCTCGGATGTAGGGGAATGCTTTTGACTAGTTGAGCTACAGACCTTTCCCTACCGCTAACGATAAATATTTGGTACGTAGAATCGTGAAGTTGTAGATTGTATGTGAACGAAGTCTACTATAAAATCATCGAAATCAAAACGAGAAGTAGAAAATCTCTGGGAGAAGAGAATGATTGAATCAGTCAGGAACCCTTGAGGATGGAAGTGGGAGAGAGAGGAGGTGCATCCAACTGGTACAGGTTAAGAGCTGGTCCAACAAACCTGAAGAGAATCCAAGCCCCAATCACTATGTAAATTGAAGCATAAGCAAACTTATTTAACCAAAACAAAGCACCCTTCTCCCCCACATAAAGCTCCAATGCCTTTTCTCCCAGGCTCATATCCTCCCACTTCTTTGGAGCAGCACTAGCTTGAGCCTTCATGACCCGTCCGCTGTCCCTCTCACCACCCTCCTCTCGCTGCTGCTTCGTCCGCCTTCTCGACCTCTTTTTAAACCGCACTCCCGTGGCATCTGGGGCTGCCACGCTGTTGCCGTCAGTGTCCAGACTGCTAGTGTTGCCACCACCATCACTGCCAGTGGTGTTGTAAACTAGTGTGCTGATTCTAAGAGGCCGGGGACGAGCAGCGGGGGAGAAGATATGGTTATGTTTTGTTAGTGAAGATTTTTTGAGGGCGAGGTGGGTTGGGGAGGCTGGCGTTGAGCTGAGGAGGTGGAGGAGTTTGGCGTCCATTGTTGTTGAAGTTTGTAGGTGCAGCCAACTCCAAGTGAGAGAGTGGATGGACGTTGCTTTTATCACTTTCTTTATCTTTTCACTCATTTTCTTCCAATTTGCTTAAAGAATAGTTTGGTTGGGCTTCAACTTCAAGTGGGCCTTAACAAATTCTTTTGATTTCGTTTTAATGCAAGCGATAGGAACACAACAATGGATCATGTTACTTGCAAAATGCTATAAGAATTTTAAGGTACTAGGATTATTTGTGCAAATGTTAAGGTATTTTAGTATTTTTATTAATTTATGATGAGTTTTTTTTTTTTTTAGTACATCGATATTTTTATACTAAATAAAGGAGGAGTTCAGCTAAACCACATAATGGGTAGCCTAATTTGGTATCAAATTCGTCATTCACGAGAATTGAATTCTCATTTTCAAGTGAAGAGGAATACCACCAAACCGTAATACTGAGTGGTAATTTATGATAAGAGTTATGACTTTTATTTTAACAACTAAGAAAGAAACTTAGGGGTGGCTTGTATACGGTGTTTAATGGACTTTCAGATCCCCTGTTTTACCTCTCCGTAGCTTCAGAAGCAATCCCAGGAGGCCTTCGTTCTCTATCGCTGATTAACAAAAAAGAAAGAGGGATATGAACAGATTGAACGTTCAACAATCAATATTTATTACAATAAATGATTAAACTAATAAAAAATCAATAAAAACATTTAATAATTAATTAAAAAACATTTGAAGCTGCTCTCAAATTTGACAGCAATCCCATTTGCTCCAATCCATGTCATGTCTCATAGGATTTGATATTTCGATTGGAAACAATTAGTGGCTATCTTTTTTTAGTGTTATCATTTATGTAAACATTTTGACATCTCATTTGGAGATAAAAGTCACCCTGTATTGAATAAAGATTGTTTATGACTTTTAAAAGTCTAAAATCTTGTAGTATTTAATTATGATCTTTTGGTGAGTCTATAAAAATTCACGTGTATTTAAAATTTCACTGATTTTAAATGATTTTATAAAAAATTAAATAAAAAAGGATTTTGATAGACTTTGTGCTTTTATGGTAAGTTTTGGGTCATTGCAAATCCAACCTAACCCTAAAAATTTGATGGATTTCATTTCTCCCACTTAGAATGATCTACTCCAGCACCCACCATAATACAATAATTACCACTACCATCACTTTCACCATCGTATGGCCACTACCACTTACCATGACCATCCCAACTGCTCCTACCGCTACCACTGTCACTATCGTTGCCACCATGCCACTAGCATAAGCATCATCTCGATCACCACCACCACAAAACCTGTCACAACAATCACCACTATCTGACAACCTCCTGCAACAACCTTTTTACACCAACACCATGACCGCCGCCTCTACGACCACAATCTTAAATACCTTAACATTTCCACTATCACCATCTTAGCAACAATGATCACATGACATTTCTACTACCATCATTGCCACCACCATCTCAGAATCACCATTTCAAATAATGAAAATTTGAAAATAGAAATGCATGTTAATAAAATTTTCCATGATAATCCACCTAATTCTATTTGAATCCTTGAAAAAAGTCTCACAAGCTCCATTAAAATCCACGTAGAATTCCATTAAAATCCATATAAAAACCAAGTAAACTCTCTCAAAATCCATCTATTCATCTCTATGAAAATCCATAAAACTCTATAAAACAAAATACATGACATTTCAAATTAATCAAACATTATAATATGTAATCACTAGTATAATTAATCAAACAACATTGCAAGTAATCACTAAGATAAAAACGAACGAGTTTCTCATCTAATTTTCTTCTACATATCTTTTTTTTCCTAATTAATAGATTAAATAAATTAGAAGGATTAAACACCGATCAGGGGCTGCCAGATCTCCACACGTGTCCAATATTCTCACAGAGGATTTCAAATTCCAAATCCCACCCGGATGGATCCAACTTTTTCCCCACCCCTTTAAATACCAAAACCACCCCTCCACCCTCACCATAATTACTACCCCTTGCCGAAGGTTTTATAGTCACAAAAAGAAAAAGGTTTTGTCCAACCCGCTATATATCCTCTGTCTGTCTTTTAACTCCAAGCAAAAATCCATCAGAAAAAATAGACTCCAAGCAAAAACATCCACTCACCGAGTCAACTCGCCGGAACAACCCAGCCCCACAAGTTCATGACTGACGACACCTCCGATAACTACCGGGTCGAACCGGTCGACCCGGTCCTCGACGGTTATCATCCCTCGGAGCTCCAAATCGCCTCGGAGTTTCTCTCCATCTGGCTCCCCTTTCTCACCAGAGATCTCTGCCAGCTCTGTTCCGCAAAACTCACCGATCGCGTCCGCTCTCTCGGCCCAGGTACGAATTCTTTCACTTTCTGTTTGTTTCCTGGGAAAATTTAGGGCTAGAAAGTGTGTAGAAAGTAAAAAAGGTCTCTATCTTTATGCTGTACTGTACACAGATAAATTGAATTTTGAATTTTGAATTTGTGTTTCGGCATACCCTTATTGGGATTTTGTGATATGGGAATTGTAGAACTTGGTGGCGATTCGATACCTGTTAACCCGGATGAGAATTCGAGTGATTTGAAACCGGAGAGCAAGGAGTTGCAGGTGCGTAGTGATAATGATATTGGTGAAGATAATCATGATGATGACACAAGTTCACTAGGTTGGAAAGACGGAGCTCAGGGGCTATCGGAGCCCGACCCTGAAGCTTCTAAAAGTGGATTGTGTCCTGAATCCCCCTTATTAGAGACTCCAAGCCATCGGATGTCATGGGCCGATATGGCACAGGAAGATGAGCTGGAGGAAGAGGAAGAGGAGGAAGAGGAAGAGTGTGAATTGAATAAGCGGGTGGTGAATGTGAATGACACGACTGGAGAGTTGAGGATTACAAAGTCTACATTGTCCAGGGAGCAGAGGGAACACATTAGGTTTATGAATGTTAAGAGGAAGAAAGATTATATTTGTTTGGAGAGGGTTAATGGGAAATTCGTTAACATTCTCGACGGCCTTGAGCTCCACACCGGTATCTTCAGTGCAGCGGAACAGAAGAGGATTGTTGATTATGTTTATGAGCTTCAAGAGATGGGCTGGAAGGGTGAATTAAAAGGTTAGTTCTTTGCTTTTGGAATGCCAATACAGTGCTGGATCTTCGTGTTGATATTTCTTCTTGTTTACATACATGAGGTATATATATCTGTAATGTTTCCAATAACATGTTTATCTATTTACGATGACTTGAGACATAGGCTTTATGGTAACCCTTTTATTGCCTAGCTAGAATGTAAGTTGTCTGGAATGCACATAATGTGTTTGGTTTTCTTTTATGAATTTACATCTATTGTGTTCCTCAGATTTATTTTGTAATCGGTTTAGTTGTAAGTTGCCAAAGAACTTTTCAGTGGTATGTATATGCCAACTTTAAGATTCCCCGTCTTTTCTTGTTGAGTTGTAAGTTATATTTTATTATACTGAAAATATGCAAAATCTATTATTTAGCTCAAACTTGTTTTTATGTGAGTTAATTCTGTTACATGGAACTTACTAAAGTGTTTTTGGATTTTCTAGTTGCATTCTATTGTATTGATGTTTATTTATTTCTTATTAGGATAGGTATTATACCACTTTGGATAACCTATTCTGGAATTCTTGCAGCACGTACGTATACAGCACCTCAAAAGTGGATGAGGGGCAAGGGACGAGTAACCATTCAGTTTGGCTGTTGCTACAATTATGCAGTGGTATGCCTTTTGCTATGGCATTTAGATTTAATTTCAATTTATTATTTGACTAACATTTGGTAGAAATCAGCTACATTATTATTCTCGTGGGCATAATTTCTGAACTTTGCTCAAGGAACTATATGTCCTACTGATTTTAATGTGTTGCACTTGCATCTGTTGTGCTATGTTGGTTGCAGGATAAGTATGGTAATCCACCTGGTATCCTCCGCGATGATGTTGTTGATCCCATACCTAATCTTTTTAAGGTGATCATTAGGAGGCTGGTAAAATGGCATGTGCTTCCCCCGACCTGTGTACCTGATAGTTGCATCGTCAATATATATGATGAAGGGGACTGTATACCTCCGCATGTTGACAACCATGATTTTGTTCGACCTTTCTGCACCGTGTCCTTTCTTAGTGAGTGCAACATAGTTTTTGGGTCAAACTTAAAGATCATTGGTCCTGGCGAGTTTGAAGGTTCATTTGCCATTCCCTTGCCAGTTGGGTAAGTATCCCATCCAGATTCGTCCCTGCACATTCTCTGCCCTTGTTTAGATTCTACCTATTGTTTGTCATTACATCTATGTATTTTGATATATGCATCAACCGTTTTACTTAATAGTCAGCATTTTTCCATGCAGATCTGTTCTGGTTTTAAACGGAAAGGGGGCTGATGTAGCTAAGCATTGTGTGCCTGCAGTACCTACAAAACGGTAAGAGTTAAAACTCTGCAATATAATTTTGTCTTTTTGTGGTTGCTTGTATTAATTATTTGTCTTCAGGATATTTACCTGCTCGTTATTGTATATCGTAGGATATCAATCACATTTAGAAGAATGGATGAAACCAAACGGCCGAATGGTTATGTTCCAGAACCTGATCTACAGGGTATTCAACCACTATCCTTTGAACAGGACAAGAAAACTGGATTACATTCACCTAGGAGCGAACGTGGAATGAGGAGGCAGCCAATTAGAAGAGCGGGTAACTCCGAAATTAGGGTATCTGCTGACAGACGTGAGTTCCACTCAGCGCCCCGCGACTCGGGATGGAGTCGACGTGGATCCGGAAATAGGTGGAACCGGGGAAGGGCCAATGTGAATTTTGAGAGCTAGTTGATGATGGCTAACTTCGTTGCCAGTACAAGTGTTGCTGTTGGCCCCTTCCAACCTTTCGTCAAGGTTCTTGCACTTAATTTCTGAAAGAGATATAGGAAACATATTGATTGGATTTGTATCTTTCTACATCTACTTTAGGCATGTCAACTGTGCTTTGGTTTATCCTTTAACAAAAGCAATATGCCTGTTTGAGTATAGATGGAAGTTCAGACTCATGCGGCGAAGGCAGTGGACATAAATGCAACTTGCTGGAATGCCACCACAGTTCTCTTGGGATTGTTTTTCTATAGCTTATAAGGCTCATCGCGTAGCGCTATCGGCTTTGTGAGTTTAAAGCATATGGGTGAGTTGTACTATATAGTGGATAAATCAACTTGAAGCTGGTTGGTTGTAGCATATTGCTGCTCATATGTCCCAGTAATTGGATTGCAATCTATTGAGTGTGGTATTGTATCCTTCCTCGGTTTTACGTTTGTGAACCGGATTTCTTTATGCATGCTCAAGTTTACTAGTATTTGAACGTCCAGAATTTCTGGCCGGTTTCAGCCGTATATTTGCATTGTTGAGACGAGAATGAAATGCAGATTGGTAAATCGGTGTTGGTTTACTTTTTCCTTCTCTCTTTTCGTTACAGACGCTGTTGGTATGGTAAATTTGTATTTACTTTTTCCTTCTGTACATTTACAAAGAATGCCTTTATTCATATTTCATACTCCCTTCGGCCATGATTTCGAGTTCTCATCTCCATTACAACGCGGTGCAAATAATTTTACGAGTTATTAACATTCTAAAAAAGTCGTTACTTGGAAAATATGGGAGGAGCTTTGGTGACTAGTTTGAAGTGTTAAACTCTCAGAATTTTATTAAAAAGAAAATTTTATGGATACTGGAGACGCTAACTTGCACCAAATTTTGCATCCAACAAAAACTTGCATTCTGGTCACTAATTAATGTGGCTAGCTCTTTTTTGTTGTGAATAAATAAGGTTGCAATGTGTTTATCTATACGCAAGAGAACTCTTTCTGTGAGAATTTTTTTAGTGTGCCGGGAACACGGTTTGGTACACAAGTATTATAATACAAGTTGAAATTCTTTTCTTCAAGTTTCTCAATAATCTCTCCTTGTAAAGCGGGATGTATTTCCGCACACTAAAAAATCTCTTCTTCTTGTCAACCATTCACATAATATTAAATATGGAAAATGAAATAATTTATGATCGCACAATGTATGATGAACAGTCACGATCATGGAATGCCTAAGATCCTCAGGAAAAGGATCCGACGAGTATCCTTTTCCATTAAATATACCCATTTATCCTCTTTTCCATCTTAAATAACAGATTTGATACTAATGAGACTTTTTTATTGGTCTTTCACTTTGTCTCATATTTTCAATCAATCCCTCATTTTACAGGAGATGGATTGTCTGCCTTCCCATTTCCATACTCTTTCCATGCCCTCCTATTTGTGTAGTCGCGATTAAGCTACGTCAACATTTTATATTCTATTATTTTTTGTTTTATTATTTCTATAAAAAATTAATATAAAATATTGATATGGCTTAACCGTGATCATACATCACAAGAGAGCATGAAAGAGTATGGAAATGGAACGGGAGACAATCCACCTCCCATTTTACATACCCTGCTTCTTTTTCGTTCTTTTTAACTTCCAATACACGCATGTACTATCTTTTATAATATTAATCACAGAAAACACTGCATTTACTGTCATAAAAATTGGTGTTTATATTACTACTCAAGTACTATCGCCTTATGCAAATAGTTTTTTATCACAATTGTGAAAATGTATTGAGTTTTGCATGACGTTATGAGTTCAAATTTCATCGGTGACTAATTTAACATTTAATTTAACAAAATTTGACCCAAAAAAAAAAAATAAATATATATATATATATATATATATGTAGCGTTATAGTTGTTTCCAAACATTCTGTGCATAGATGTTTTTTTTTTTAATTTATTAACAAATGTCATCAATGTAATTTTAACTCATGAGGTCCTCCAACAAAGTAAAATTTCACTAATCGTGGGATTTATGTAGCTTTTCACCCTACCATAATATGGCTCGATCGAGGTGTTTATTCAACCTTATATATTTGAGGATTGTATACATTAATACTACATACATATGATATGATATGATTTGATTGTATGTTGGGTTAGATCTAACACGTTTACCCCACAAAATCTATATGGCATTAATTCTGCTCTTTCATTTTTTCTCGATCAACCGGGACTCAAGTTCAAACTTTGAAATTTCTTGTCCTCCTCCTACCATTTAGAGTTAGTCAAACCACAAGACCTCATTATATTACAAAATGTATTATCCACATACTTCATTTATTTTTCACACATTTATCTTAATTTTCAATTAGAATGAATAAATTAAAAAAAAAAAGTATGCGAATACTACCACCGTATATTTATTTCTCAATTAAAAAAAAAGAAAATTGAAAACACCTCAACACAGAGAGGTTTGAACGTAACAGTGTCTGATGCTGTGGTCCAATAAAACCACAAATACTCAATTTAAATGCCAAATCAATTATATATATATATATGCGTGGGGTCCACTCTAGCTTTCATGGTCCCATACCTACTACCCTAGTGTTCTGTAGAAACAAAGCATATTAAACCACATGAAAAGGTAAACTGCGCTCAGCTGCCATCAAACTTCAGAAGCTCTAGCATGCAGTAGCAGCCTGTGTACCTAGCCAGGCTGCTACTAGGCAAATAGCATTCATATAATAAGTGAGAGATTCTAACCATACTAAGCAAGTTTCTTGGCTTGCATATATTCAACATAGTAAAAAAAAAAAAAAAAAACAAGGTATTTAAAATGAAATGCACTATTGCACTTATTTGTATAGGATTTTGTAGTGTACATGCATCGGTGTATACATCTACATACATCTATATTTGTTTGAATCTTGACTGTTGGATTATTAACTGTACATCTAAATCTCCATTCATCAGATACTTAGACTGGAGTACAATATAATTTTGGTATATATATGGATCCTTATTATGAATGAATATTTCAAGGACAAGAATATGAATTAAGAGAGAAACTTGTGGCTAGGGTTTAGTCTAGAACTGTAGTTGCAAGTCTTTGTCTTAGACTTAAAAAAAGGAATAAAAAAGAGAATGAGACTACTTACTATGGCAGTCTAGAGAGAGAGAGAGAGAGAGAGAGAGAGAGAGAGAGATCTGGGGTGATATTATTGAGATGTATCTTGAGAGAGATATGGGAAGAAAATGACATCCGAAGATGATTACCCGAAAGAAAAGGGAGTGTACTCACAGCGGCTATGCACAGCACACTAAGGCCAGTCAATTATTAGGTAAGCAGTTCAGAATTTTGGATAACAAGGGGGACAGATATACAACTTCACTGGTAAATCAAGTCTAAAAGTTGATCACCAAAGAATTGCAAGACTGACTATCTTCTCCTCCTATTGGCTTTGGCTAATTGGAGAGAGAGAGAGAGAAAGAGAGAGAGGCTCAGAGTCCTAAACCCTCCATGTAAATGCATGATAAGGAAAGGAAATCTCATGATGATAGTACTGTCAAAATCAAACATATTATGCAATCTGTAAAAATTGAAATGTGAGAGAGACGGAGGAGGAAGAGAGATAGGCATGTACAACGTCAGTAAGGATTACTGAGAAAGGGACTGGGACTGGTTGAATTCAAGAAAGAATGCTTCAATTTGGCCAAAATATTGGGTAAAATTCATCAAAAAAGAAAAGTTGTGTGTAAAAGGATAAAATATGTAAACTTGCTTCTTGTTGGTTTGTAAAGTATTGGACTTCTTAAATAACATACGATTAGCTTGAACAAGTTTAAACTAGTGAACCAAGGAAAAAAGGAGATGCAGTACTAACATCAATACAAGCTCTCATAGGTTAGCAATGTGATAGATTAAGGGTTCGATTTCTATCAATATAACTATAAAGACGTACAAGTTAAGTGTAAAACTAATGCTTCCATTTGCCCATTTGGCCAAAAGTTTAGAAAGGAGAAAGATGTAGAGTTTCTTCTTGTTGGGTTGTAAAGTATTGAAAACTTTCTAATAAAATGAGAATGAATGACAAGATTAAAATAGTTATCCAATGAAAAAAGAGAGAGATGCAACTGCCTCCTTAATTTTCTGTTGGTCTTTAATGATCTCATAGTCGTGTTAATATCAATACAAGTTCCCATAAGTTAGCAATATATAGATTTAGGGTTCGATCTCTGCCAAGGTGACTATTAACACGCACAAGTTCTTGCTAGCTCAGACAAGAATGTTAATGAAAGCCACTAGGGTTGGTGAGGGTGGGTAGGGTACATGTTTAAGGTTTATGGCATTAGCTAGGGTTATAAGTCTACTTAATTAGGCTATTAATTCACATAAAACCCAGTTGAGGTTTATGGGATTAGGGTTAGTCTCTTATTTGCAAAGCAAAGATGCATGGGATAAACGAGGAATATTGATATGAATTATGTATTAGGATATAAGACCCATTTGGGGTTAGGGTTCATATCATATAGAGTGTGGTAGATTGCGTGTGCATGTGAGAATTATAGAGAGAGGATGGTAGAAGCAAAGCGGCAGTGGCAAAGAATGATGAAGCTTTTGATGATGATCCTAGAGACTGAGACATGCATGCATGCATGAGAGAGCTCCAGAAACCATGACACACACCATACTTAATGCTTTGGCATTTATTTTGAAACGCGTGCTCCGTAGCATAAAGGACTATACAGACATGATGACACCACTGAATTCTTTCTTTCTTTTGCACTTTACTCCTTGATATTTGCTCTATCATCCGCATCTCTCATCTCTCCCTCCATCTCTGTACAGAAATAGGATCATCACTTCCTACACTTGTGCTTGTGCAACACTCTTTTAATTAATAAGGTTTCTTTCATAGTTAAGGTATGTTTATAACAGTAACGTTTTTAGGGTTTGCATGATTAAATTCTAGTTGGTTAATTTTGTTCAATAAGTTATTATGTTAGAGCTATGAAGTATAATTTTTTACTTATCGTGTTTTCTACAACATTACTAAGTTTGTTTTATTTGATTGTGCTTCATGAGATTTGAACTCAGTCACACGTCATTTTCCAACAATAGGCACTACAAGAGGCCCCCAAATATTGTGTCGCCCCCTATACCTTGTTTTCGTCACCAAAAGTATATGCAACGAATTAGGATCTCATCCAAGTAGATCATCTTTCCTTACTAGACCAAATGATCAGAGTGAGCAAAATACTGCAAACTGTGCAACCGCAAAAAAAAAAATTGCAAACAGCAGGTTAGTGATATGTACATAATTTTCATTCTAGGGTTTATGCTTTAAAAAATAAGTTAAATTTTGCATAACCAGGCACATCTTCAATTATCCATAGAAATACCAAGATTGTACCTGAACAGTTAACAAGACACGAATTCGCACAAAAAATTGCGTTGTTTAGTTGAAGCGTATCGGTTCGGGTTGATA